TAAAAAATTTCATTTTTTTGAAAATTTTGGCCCGTTTGACCTTGAAATAAAGGTCAAAGGTCAAATCCAAGGGCATATTTGAAATCTACACATATGACTTTTGGAAAGCTGTCTGTAGAAATTTTTCCCATAACTCCTTCCGTAGGGTAGATAATTAGCATTTAATTTTGCCATTTTTAGACAAGGGTGCATTGCAATGAGTGCCACACCTAGACCCCAATACCGACAAAGCCCAAATTTTACGTGGAACGAGTTGAGATTATAGGTGACCTAAATCCAAGAGATGGGTACAGGGGCCCTTACCGTCTAGGAGGAGAAGCTGTAACGGTGACTTGGCGGCGGAGCCGCAGGAGCCGCAGGAGCCGCAGGAGCCGGCGGAACATACGGGTCGGGACTAAAACCATGGGTACCGCCAGCGCCTACGCTGGTGGTACAATAATTTGTAAAAATTGCAAAATAAGTACCAATAATGACATTACCTTTTTAATGACCATATAAATTATTTTAAGCAATAAATGTTTAAAAGATACTTGTACTGTTTTTAAGAATTAATCAGTTGAAAAATGTTAGTCTTAAAAGATTGAGTATTGTTTCCACTGAAAATATAAGCTATATCAGTACTCAATAATTGGTGCTGCTCTTTAATAAATCACAAATTTGCTGTAGGTAGAGAAAACGAATAAACAAAATAAAATCATATAATGATTCAAATAAACATAATTAAAACTAATTTCCGTCTGGTTTCTATTTCTTGTTAAGATTTCACCTTGGCATATCTCTCCCTATCAGAGTCTTTGCAGGCAGAAGTCAGTCCATAGAGACAATACTTGGCAGCATGGGATGGTAACATGGACCATTGGGGGGACAACTCCACAATACTGGAATTACTGACCACCTCCCTGTTGCCGTAGTCTATGTACTGGACAAGACTCTGAAAAAAAAAAGAAAAAAAATTAAAATTACTTTTTAAATGCAGATTAAAAAAATGACAAAAGTTTTACTTTAAAAAAATCACTTCAAAGGTGCAGTTAAAATATCATCAAAGGTTTTTTTTCACATATTTCATAAACTATTGTTATACTATTTCACTGAGTATTTTAATTTAGTTGTATAAAATCATAATGATCATAACCAACAGTGCATTACAGTACTCACCTTTTCCATTGAATGGTGGCTTAACACCTTACATCTATATAGCATATCGTCCTCAGAAAATACTGCGGCATACACCTGAAAGCAAACCATTCAAAAACATACATTCTACGCTAGTCTTAATGCCTTCATTTTATTCCTTCTCTGAGACAGTAGGTCATAAGTATAAGACTTCCTCAATCCAGGTTAAATCTGTAGTAGCTGACTAGATCTTGGTCTAAAGCATGAACCATTTACTAAAAAGGCACAATATGACATTTATGTTAAAATGCCACTGAGTAATCCTCCGTCAATGTGATACTATAAATATATGCTTTTAAGTTCAGGCAGGTCATTCAGTCTAAGTTCTTTCATGAAACCAGTCTCTGAAAGCATTTAAATAAAAAGAACAAGTAAGTTTACTTAAACCCCTCACCCTATCAAAATGAGGAGGTCCCTGTACTGATTTGCAAGTGTTGATATTCATGTGTAGCAGAGCCTCTGTGATTCTCAAAAGTTCTTCCGTCTTTTCCTGGGACATCAACTGAGCCCAAAATGTACACGGTCCATCACAGTGGGTCACCAGCAAGATACCCTGGAGAATAAAAAACCCTTTTTATATTGATGTCTGTTTTGAGCTTTTGTTTCTCACAACTTGGCTAAAATGTCATTTGAAAACAGAAAATACATATATAAAAGAATATCTGTTATATATATATACCACCAGGTCATACTGACTGTATATAAACGTAATTATTCTTTGAAAATTACCAACTTCTAAGCAATGAATGTCATATTTTATGTCTTTTTCCTTGCTACAAAACCTGCTTTTTAAATCACTACATAACCTGGTACAAAAATAAAGATGTCCCAGAAAAACAACAAATGAAGACAGCATCAAGAGACACTGTAGGTGTTTCAAAAAACTACAATAAATTTACTTATTCTGCCATATCAGTACTTACCTCCCCAACAACATTATTATTCATGACTGAAATGTTTAGAAATACATTTTAAAATTTGCCCTGAAAACTAACCTTCCTTAGTATTCAAATGCTAACACGATTTTCAGAAGTGTATTCCGATATAATGGTAATTACTCGAGCTTTTCAATGGGGGAAAATTGTGAATTTTACAGATACTGTATTTTTTCAGTCACAATTTCTTTAAATTGAAAAACTCCCACCAAGTGGTAGCAACAAAATTGAGAAGCAGGTTACTCTATAGTTCTATTTTATAAAGTAAAAGCACCATAAATACAATAGAGAAATATAATTTTTATGATTATAAAATTATGTATTTGAAATTTTGATAATTTTTGCAGATTGAAACGATCGAGTAATTCCCGGAATTATGAGACGTGCAACAGAATAACAATTCTAAAGACATGTGGAGATATGCTTACAGTTTGCCTAGTTCAGAAACATTAATAAAGTAATAAATACATCTTATTTGCTTTGGATATATCAAAGAACTATCAATATAAAAATTGGGTAATGATTTTAAGCAGGAAACTTTACCAACAGTCATAAAATTAAGATCACTGTGTTCAAATTTTCCACAGGGGTGTTGGAGTAGATGCTAAGAAAATAAAGATTGTTATTTATGAATTTTTAAAAAGTTTGTACCTGAGTCCCTGCCATCCCCCATACTGTGGTCAACGTAGTCACTGGATCTTAATGAAAGACACAAAGATAGCAGAAAAATCACATAATATAAATACATACTTCAATACACTTTGCTAAAAGGATGGTTAGAAAAAACCATGCAACTTCTTACATAAAAAACAAACCATAAATTGAGTTAATTAAAAATAATGACATCAACTAAACTATTCTGAGAGTCTAGTACTTATTATGATATTTTTCAAAACTTTCTTTCTGTTAATTAATCAAGGTTTGTGCACTAAATACATGACAAGTGACCAGTTGGTTGAAATATTTATGGCACAGGCCTTGAAAGAAATTTCAAGATCATTTGTTAGCTGTATCTAAAAACCACCTATCTTGTCTTCTCATGTTCACAAATATTTTTCTTCCCTCAACTAACTTCCCATTCATCTCTGAGCATGCACACAAAGCTTCCCTTTGTTCATAGAAAGAGATTGTACTGAAAGAGAGGAAAACTTTGCCATTAATCAAACACCAAACAAGTACCACAAAAAGAGAGTTTACCATTATTTCAGATCACCAAAACACCAACCAAGAAGTAAAACAAAATTGTAAGGTGATAATTTAAGGGCATTTCCATTTGCCATCTCATAAAATTATATTTAAAAAGTTATTTTTATATAAATCTACTTGAAATTTTTTCTTTCTTGCAAAAATGAAGACAAAATGCAGTTGCATATACGTACTGTGGTAGTCAAAAAGTCAAAGCTTTATATATTGCTCTGTGTAAATATCATTCTAAATTGACTAACATGCAGTATGAAAAGTTATAATTTTATAAAGTTAATTTTTTTTTTCTTATATGCTTTACTGTTCTAAAATGCAGAAAACAGTTTTAAGAAAATGATTTTAACAGTCATAACTTACGCCACCAATGAATTAGGACGCTTGTAATTTTTTTCTAGTGATATGGAGTGATATATCCCATATCTCTGAAATATCCTTCCAATATTATCCTAAAAGAGAAATTGATGCCATAACTGGTTAAAGGGATAATAACTCTTCGTTTTGGCCAAAAAATGAATTTTCCTGGAGTAAACAACAATTTCCCCATACTTACCAATGGTTAATGAATCCATTTTTACATTCAAAGTTGGTCCCTGGTTTTTTTCTAAAAAGTTTGGTTTTTTGTTAAAATCTCTTAAGAGATTATAACAGAGTATAGCCATCATGAATGGAGGTCACGTGGTCTGAAGACAAGCTCAGATATCAGAATAATAGCTATAACTGCTGTTTTTGTCGTAAAACATAATATATTATATTTCTATGAGTCATTCACAATGTTTTTATTGTGAAATATAGACCTCACACGAAGAGTTATTATCCCTTTATTTCTACTGAGCCTAAGATGATCTAAGATAATATTTACCACAAGAAACAAATGGAAATCATCATATTAATAACATATGTACAGGTACTTACTTATGGGCTTCCTCTGGTCACACAGCCAAGCATAAATGGCAATTTAAAAGCAGCATACAATCTTTTGAAATCTCTACTTATGTCAGTAAACTAATAATGAAGATTACAGCAAAAGGGAATATAATACACTGTGACACTGACTGCTAAATAGTTTTTATCGGATGTTTTATGATGCCTGCATGTATCAGTATAAGTCCTAACAAACGACCATGAACTTAGTTCAAACGTGCCATTATGTGTAAACATATATTGCTGCCAAGTGGATGACCGAACTTCCTACAAGACATCTAACATCACATTTATGAGGTCGAAAGTGAAAAGAACCAGATGGTTTTGACAAGACAGAATGAGGCCGATATACAACGTATGTATCTCGGTTTCCGATTAAATGAGGCAGAGCCAGAGTTGCACGAGAATTAAGTTTAACTCCACTCACCTCATTTGCATCTACTGAAAGATTTGTAACATAAACATCATGCGTAATGACGCCGTGGTGCCTCGGCAGACTTGCCATCTTCATCAACACATTTCCCACGTGCCGCGGAAAGTGGCGAAATATTGTCGTGAGTTTCCGTGAACCAATCAGCAGTTGTCCCAGCTAACACAATTATTGTCAGAACAATAACTAACCATGGGTACGGTAGTAAAAAATTAATAAGAGCAATTGTTTTTAAATTTCGTTATGGTAAAAAAAAAAAGATTTACTTTCTGAGGAGTTGTCAAAGTTTTGGAAGCAATGCAAAGTTATAAATTGGGTGGGTAGAAATATTCGTTGTAATTATAAAGATTTAGCTCAAAACAAGCTGACCCCCCCTCTTCGATTTCTGAAAAGAATCACACCAATGGTCCCCTCTTAAAATTAGAATTTTGACTAGCTGAATCTTGGTTCTGAACCACACCAAATGGCACCGTCCGCCCTCTAAAATACCAATTTTTGTTCGACCCCCCCCCCTTCTTCAAATTATCCTGGATCCGCCCCTGTCTTGTTCTTGTTTTTTCCTTCAACTACTATCTAGATGGGTTCCACTGGATGTGCACAGAACTTGCTCTCAAGAATATCTGGTGAATTAACAGCTTAAACTCAGAGGTGGAACTGACGGGAAAGAAGTAGAAGCAACGGTAGAAATAAAATAGCCCAGCGCCCAGGAAGCTGCATGTCAAATCGAAGGGGAGACGGTGCTCGCATCTTCTATCACATGTAGTCCATATATGCCTAATAAATAAAAGATCTCCAGTGCAGAACAAACAAACATTAGCGTTAGTATTGGCTGTAACACAACGCGCCACTGCAAAACACATAAACCCCGTCATATAGTGCATTTTGCAATGTTTTAACCACGTGTTTAATGAAAAAGGCCCCATCTATATGTCAAAGGTAGAACATTTGCAGAAAATAGGTTTATGGCCTGCATTAACTTAATGTAAGGCTAAATGCATTTACAACTGTATCTCCTTTGCTGTCTATTTTATCTGAATTGCTGAACCTCTGAACATGGAGATCCTCACAGTATATCTTGGTGCAAAGAACGCGAATACAGTTTAAATTCAGCATTGTTTACTGGACTTTCGCAACCCTTTTTCTAAGCTTTGAATTTGACCAACATGGCTAACATGACTAATGCAACTTTCCACACGGCCGAAGTTGACCAAGACCCAAAGGAATCGATCTTCGAGTTGAAGGACGGAGATGGCCTTCCATTTCCATGGAAACAATTTAAGGGTTTGGTTGGGCTTCCTGGGATACCAAATATGGTACAGCGAATGCAGAACCTAACACATTTCGTCGCTCGAGAGGATGACATCTGGATTTGCGGCTACCGAAAATGCGGTAACTATTAAACATAGTGATATATGAGGAAACGTTACTCCCCATCGAGGCCGTATTTTAATTAAAATATATTAAAATATGTGTACTTTTCCAAAGTGCAAGGTTGGATTCATCTGACCGTTTTATAAAACTCTTGGGATTGGAATGGCTCGGGCCTATTGCATATTTCTCAGAGACATAGGTCTTGGCATAGATCTTTATATTAATGAAAAACGTACACCAGGGGTACTCTTTACCAGAGACCCTTAGAACTACCTGTTTAAATTAAAGTGTTACAAAACTGGTTGTAATTATAACTGCTAGTACAGCTAGAAGGGACTCTGGCAGAGAGAAAGTCATAGGCTAGATACGAACAACTAGGGGAAATACGATGCCAGTTGCTCTTGCAACCAGTTTTTTAAAGTTCACATTTTGTTTTCAGGTAATCACTGGGTATGGGAGATTGCTTCGATGATCATCAAAGGAAAAGCAGAAACAATTGCAGAGCCAAAAGAAGATTATTTCATAGAACACGAAGATTTGCCTTTCTTCGACTCCAAACCTTCCCCGCGCGTTATGAACACACATCTCACGTCAGACTGGATCCCCAAAGACGTGTTTATTAAGAAAAACAAAATCATCCTCGTTATTCGTAATCCTAAGGATGCTTACGTTTCTCTGTATTATCACATGTTGGGCCTTAAGAAAAAGAACTATGAAGGAACATGGAATGGATTTTTCGAACTTATACCACAACTGATAAAGTACGACCGTGAGTAGCTGTAGGATTAAACTTTTTATGAGAAATTCAAGATGTCCGCCAAAGACAATTAAATACATCCGTTTAACAAATAACAATTTAGCACCCGTGGGCGCATTATCTAAGGGGTATTGATTAACGCTCCATATACGGCTTCGTAAAGCACCTAGAGCAGTTATATGTTTCATACAATAATAAATAATCACTAAATACAATTCTAAATTTGCGGGGGACACAGATATCCACTACTGGGTAGAACTTAAGTGGTACTGTGCTGACTGACCGAAAAGACGATCTTGGTGGAATATTTCAAGTTAAATGAAAATAGTACAGGGAGAAGCGCATGTTGAACATACGTCCTCACGTTTAGACGTCACTAAGATGTTTGTTCTTCGTCATTTCAGAGTGCTATGATAGTTGGCTTGCTTACTATAAAGTATTTTGGGAATATGCCAAGCAGCACACGGATACAGTTCTTGTCGTAAAATATGAGGACATGCTGAAGGTGAGCTTTACATTTTGTTTTTAATTGTATTTATTAATAGGGGCAATTGAACAGTACTGACAAAGAAGAAATTCAAGATAATAAACGAAGGGTACAGACTGTAGGCCTACCCATATATTAGTAAATGATACTTCAGTTTGACAGAACTAATAACTAGACACACCAAAGTCACCTTGATATGTACATGTAGTTTTTTCACATACGTAGATAAATAAGGACAGGTGTTGGCAAACAATCCAAAACCTGGCACACTTGTGACTCTCGACTTTCCTTGGTTACCAAATATATGTGACAAGAAAGTGTCAATATTTGTTTTCCTTGTAGGATCCAGTGAACCACGTTCGTAAAATTGCCAATTTCCTCAGGAAACCTATTGACCAGGTTCTCTGTGAGGCAATTGCAGAGCAATGTAGTTTTGAAAACATGAAAAGGAACAAACAGACCCATCGGGAGGCGGGCCCAGAAGGGGAGAGGAACACCAAGCCTGAACTCAAGAAATGGCGCGACACGGCTTTCGGAATGTATAGGAAAGGTTGGGATATGCTGTATTTAGTTTGAAAGTCACTGCATTTCTGATTTGACCAATAAACCTGTAGGGAATCGTATATATATATATATAAAGTTCAGTTTGGTACAATATTTTTATTTGTAAATGATTTAAATATATATATAAAGTTCAGTAAATGATTCATGTGATTATTGAATCTCAGCTTCAATTTACTTCCACAAAGACATATATATATATATATATATATATATATATATGTTTTCT